TAATAACCAGTAAACGGAATGAAAATTACGTAAAACTTAATTAACGTGTTTACGATCTTTAGAGTTTTGAGTTAGATTGTGTAGAACAAACCAATAGAACTGTAAACGTTTTAACGGTGTTATGTCCCGACAGGAATAATGAATGGTAACTTTTGGGATCCATTTACGGACCAATGCTAAACATATATTTCTACTGTATAATTATTAAGTAACTAAACTATTCATATCTCGACCGAAGATGCTACCTTGACGCGGTGGTCGGGCTTGCCTATCGTGATGACCCAACCGACCTATATTGGCTGGAACATATGTTCCTGCAGGTTTTATCATACCAGGCAGGTCGATTGGAGAACGGTAAGACTAAAAGCAGTAACTCAAGGTCTGAGGGCGAAGTCGTACTGCTGACTGTAGAGAGGAGTGACAGCAGTAAGGTGTTTCCCTTGGAAAACCAGCATGACAGCGATGCTGCCTTCCCACAAGGAGGGGTGGGGCTAGAAAAGGTTGACCCTAAAAATTTCACACCTCACCTTACCTCTCGGATTTCCGTCTCCGGCGGTAAGGCCCTTTGAAGAACGGAGCTAACACATTAAAAACTTTCCACGAAAAGGCCGTGCGCGAACGGCCTCAAGCAGTTGTCCCTTGGGCTCTGCGGTCACGCTCCCAGGTCGTTAAGACCAACACTAATCCAATTTCCTTTTCAGGTTCCTCAAGAAATACCCTTCCACGGTGTGGGCAGCCGGGAAGTGACATCAGCCCTCATACCCGTAACAGCACACGAGGCCAAGTTGGTCACATTCAAATCCTTCTTACATCTCCTAATACCACTCTTATCTCCATGACTAACCCTCCTCACATCTCTTTATCACCTCGCACCGCCAGGGCAAACGATTTGAGTACGCGGAACGTTATTCCTGGTCTCCTGAAACCACGCTCTAAACGACATGTAGGAGCTTTTAGCGTACGAACACTGTGCCAAATAGGACAACAGGCTTCCTTAGCCAGAACTTTAGAATCCCGCGCCATCGATGTGTGCTGCGTCTCCAAAACGCGCATACAGGATCCGAGTAGCGCCATTCACTTGACCTCAGCATGCCAAAATAAAGAACCGACTCGATTCACATTTCGTGTATCTGGAAGCCCTGATTCTGCTTCCCGTAGCCTCGCCGGCGTAGGTATAGCATTGGGCAGAACTAGCCCACTTAGAGTGGATCCCAGTAGACAGTCGTTTGTGCGCTGTCCGACCAAACGGAACAGTAAGGAATCGGAAAGATAGGGACACCCGTCATTGCCTCTTCGTCGTCTCTGCCTATTCTCCTACTGACTGCAGGGCAGATGATGTAAAAGATGAGTTTTACAGAAAGCTTTACGATATTCTCCGAAAAGCTAGGCGCTCTGATGTAGCAATAATGGCCGGTGACTTTAATGCTCAAGTAGGTAAACTAAGCGATAGGGAAAGACACCTGGGTGGATCTTATAGCATCGTGGCTCAAAGAACAGATAATGGCGACCGTCTATTGCAGCTATGCTCAGATAACCGCCTTTTCCTTGCAAATACTAACCTTAAGCATAAGGAAAAACATCTTTTAAAATGGCGACCCCCTAATTCGTCCCAACGTTGGACCCAAATAGATCACATCGCTATCAGCCACCGATGGAGGGCCTCGATCCTCATCCTCGAGCACATGCTTAGATTCAGATAATGCTCTAGTATGAGCGCGTATCTGTATGTGTCTTACTGGATGTAGGAAAGACGGTGCAAGGAGACCTCTTAGGGCCCTACTTAATGATAGTCAAGCTAAGAGTATATTTGAGGAACAACTAGGAAAACAGTTAGGCAGCCATGTATGTGATGCCCACCCCGATGCAGCATGGAATGATATCCGAAAAGCTGTGGAAACAGCAGTGATATCTGCTAGTAAGGTAACCCGTAAGGTTAAGGAGCAACACTGGATCTCAGCAGCATCTATCTATAAGTAGGGACAAAAGTACTCTTGTGACAATCACAGAGGAATCAGTTTGACTAATATAGTGTCTAAAATATTAGCCTCAATAATACTTCGACGCCTAACTAAAGCTTGTGAAGAGCAGACTAGAGAAAATCAGGCCGGTTTTCGACCTGGACGTGATTGTATAGACCACATATTCACACTACGTCAGGTTCTAGAACACAAACACACATTCAGACGCCCCAAAATGGCAGTATTTCTCGACCTTAAGGCAGCATTCGACTCTGTTGATCGTGAGGTTCTATGGCAGTGTTTGTCACTGAAAGGAGTACCAACGAAGTACATTAAACTTGTAAAGGCTCTCTACTCGAACACAACTGGTCGAGTGAGAGCTTATGGCGAACTGTCATCAGAATTGATTACCTCAAGTGGTGTTCGTCAGGGCTGTCCACTCTCTCCATTCTTGTTCAACTTTGGCGGTGACGTGCTTTTAGAGATAACACTCTCCTCATCTAAATTTCCAGGGGTTGAACTTGTACCGGGAGGTTCACTTGTTGACTTAGAATATGCTGATGACATAGTTTTATTTGGTGAAGACGCTGACAAAATGCAGAGTCTTCTGACCACTCTAAACAACAATGCAAGAATGTTCGGGATGCGATTCTCTCCCTCGAAATGCAAAATATTGCTTCAGGATTGGGTTACATCCACACCCGAACTAGTGATAGGGAGTGAAATAATTGAGCGTGTCGGTCGCTTCACTTATCTTGGAAGTCTCATCAGCCCTTGTGGTCTGGTGTGTGACGAAATCTCAGCACGGATACAGAAGGCTTGACTAGCCTTTACCAACTTGCGTCATTTATGGCGTAAGCGAGATATCCGTCTATCAACCAAAGGACGTGTTTACTGCGCAGCAGTTCGTTCCGTCCTACTTCATGGCAGTGAAACATGGCCGGTAAGAGTAGAGGATATTCGTAGGCTACTAGTATTCGATCATAGGTGTCTTCGAAACATTGCTCGTATATCCTGGGACCATCGAGTAAGTAACAGTTGTTAGGAAACGGGTACTGGGTAAGGATGGCAAATCGATTGATGAAGTGGTGAAACTTCATCAGTTGAGATGGCTGGGACATGTGTTACGTATACCGAACGACCGACTGTCTCGACGTGCGATGTTCAGTGGTATAGGAATAGGTTGGAAGAAAGCTAGGGGCGGCCAGACCAAAACATGGAACAAGTTCATGAAGTCACTGACAAGTGGACTGAGTCATGTTGGTAGGTGTAGACTACCTGATTGGGGACTGCGAGGTGATAGCAACCGATGGTTAGAGACCCTGAATGACATGGCTCAAAATCGTTTGCAATGGCTCAGGTGCATGCATTCTTTGTGTTATCCCAAATTCTAATCCCCTGAATCCTCCTTTTCTCTTTTTTTTCTCCTTCCAAATTTATCTCACTGTATTATACTCTTTAAATAACTTCTTCGAACCCTAATTTCTCCGATTACTGCTTATGCTGTTACTACCTCTACCACTATGGGATTTGAATCGACAAGTGTATCTCTGTGCTAATGTGGTGTGGCAACTCGAACTGATGTACGTACGTACGAAGTTCTACGTTGTTACTGACTGACTGAAACTATTCATGTTATAAGCTTTATTTTGACCCATAAAGTATTATTATACGTTTTGCCATTCTTGAGTTATACCCAGCATATTAATTACTACCTCTCTCATTTACAGCCACATCTGGCTAATTCTTGTACAAATGTTGTTTAATATTTTATTGGTACGTTGTGGTTCGCTTGATTGGTATATAAACTCAGTATGTTTGAAATACAATGATTCATATCGCAGAGGCTTGGATTGGTGTTCTGGACTTAACTGGCTGGGCTAGGCGGGAAGCAGGACCAATCAGGACTCTAGGCTGTTCGCATGTGTTTTACGCGTCCGATTAATAATTCACTGCTCTCTAATCGGCGGTCACAAGTTATAACAGACGGTATTAGCAACATATCATTGGAAGTTTATTTTCAAAACATTTAATCCGATGAACGGATGGAGTGTGGCATGACATGGATCAATTTTATCATAAGTGGATGAAAAGTAGGAGTTCCCTAAATACGGCCTTAACCAAAAGCATAAACTGTTGATCAGAGAGCTAAGAGATGAGTCGAAATGTTCATCATACGAACTTAACTGAAAAAGCATGTACAAAAAACAAAAACTTAAGAGACGTTGACCATCAAGGTCCAAATTTCTATCCAGATTTTCTCCTGTTTGAGTTGCCTCTTCAATTAGTTACTAAATTTTAAATTATACAGATGGAAATAACATCACACAAGACGCTGCAGAACAGTGTAGGAACGTCGGAATTCTCGATGGAATTAGGACGAAGTGACTTTTTGTTACATACTCATAACGTGAAATACAGAATTTAATTTCGATTTATTATTTATAGCTCACCTAATGACGATGATTCTTTTAATTTTAAAGAATATTAATAAGTGATATGCAATGATAAGCTAAGTGGGCATCGGTAGAATATTCCTTATGAAATATAGATGGTGGTTGGAGGTAGTCAACAGGAAATCCTGGACCCGGGTTTCGTGCTACTTGGCACTCGTCAGCAAGGTGTACCTGTAATCTTGAGGGAACTGGTGCTCCCTGGCAGATTCGATCTCGTGTCACCCAGCTTCACAGTCAGAGACGTTACCACTGAGCTATCCGAGCCATAACTAACCTCCTGTAGGACTGAGATCTAATCACAATTGATTGATCACTGGGTGGTGATCAATGTCACATTGCAACATGATCGATAGCATTCGATTTGCACTAATAAGGACTAGACAAGCATGACATTGATCACCACCCAGTGATCAAACAATTGTGATTCCTTATGAAATAATTTCACATTTATTGTTATACATGTGTAGACACTATGGTCAACAGCTAGCTGATAACCTTAACCTAGAATAATTTTGACGTGAAGAGCTTCTAAAATAGCCTTATATGTTTGTTATAAACGAAGTTTAAAATGAATTACACACACCGTAGTCAATGCGCATTTATATTTCAAATGGCTCTCATATAGTATATATACACGCATATATATAAATTAAGATAAGTCTGTATTGGAAAACTCTGGAAAAATAACTGGTTTCATATTAGTAACAATTGTTAATTCGACATTTAAACGATCATTCAGTTTTGATTCCTCATCATCGCATTGATTCGATTCGGTCAAATCGAGTTTATTCAACAATAACTTCATAGACTTGGCAATAACAGGTAAATTAGGTAAAGAAAGTTGCAATTTATTCCAATACCGTTTTCGCATATTCCATGCACGTGAAACTTGGGAACTGAAATAAAACATGACGAACAATAAAATGAGTTGTTAGGAAAAACCCACTTCAAAAAATATTTGATTTTTTTAGATGGAGCATAAGTTTTAAAACTATTAACGTATAGCTCGAATTCCAAGCATTGTAGCAGATCTCATTATCACTTTAATTACCCTAATGTTACGCATAATGGATGGTAACTTTTCGGATCCATTTATGGACTAGTACTATGAGTATATTTTTATCGTATAGTTGTTAAATAACTAAACTATTCATATTTATGTCCCTCTTATTATGAGCCTTATTTTGATTTATTATACGATTAATTACTACCTCCCACATTTGGCCAAATTTTTTATAAGTGTTGTTTCCTATTTTATTGGTACGATGTGGTCTGTCTGGTTAGTATATAAACTGAGTATGTTTGAAATAAATGATTTATATTGTAGAGGCTGAGATTGGTGTTCTGGACTTAACTGGCTGGGCTAAGCAGGAAGCAGGACCGATAAGTACTCTAGACTGCTCGTACGGATTTTTTGCGTCATTGGTCCGATCGATAATTCACTGCTCTCTAATTGGCGGTATCATTACGTTATACATTAACAGGGCACACATGCCACAAGTTATAACACCTAATTTCAGTAATCCTTTCATATCACTAGACCTCACTGAAAATGCCGCTTGGATTCGAGAATCTGAACAAAATCATTGAATTACCACTAAAACTACTAGCCCCCTGAATGCCCTGGTACGGCCGAGAGTGGGGAGAGTCCGCTCTCCCTCTCGAAATACTCTCACACGGCCACGCGTATATAGCCTCTGCCAGGGAAGTCCTACTCATTGCCTTCTCGTGGCGGGGGTGTTGTTTACGAAAATGAGAGGACGAGAAGCGAATGTCCGGCGCTTTAACCGGATTCCAAACCAATGATGCACATGGGCTCCAGTATCCTGCGGGAACGAATGGCGTATGAACCAATCGTTGGTCACCGGCTACCATGGGACTGCATCTCCTTACGATGCTCCACTGCCTTGTGGGTTAGACCTTTAGGTCAAAGGCTCGGGGAGTGGCCCCCTAAGATAACCACCTGCTTCGGTTTGGGCACCTGGGCAGTATCACAGCCCACACACAAATGATGAACTCTCTATGTCTATGAAAACTACTTTTGTCGCTTTGAAAAACAATCAATTGATTCAAATTATGATCACTTCAATTATTGTCATTATTAATAATAATATTATTATTACTACTATTATTGTCATTATTGTTATTATTATCATTATTATTATTATTTTCCACATTATTCACCCTCTTTTATACTTATACAGCGGCTCGTCTTTGGTGGAATTCCGACTGTATCTAAACGTTCTCGAGTCACTGTCCGGTTGAAAATTGTATGTTACCACCGAATACGAGGACTGAAGCAGATTTTCTGAAACCACGTGCATCATTCAAACTGGCTGCCTTCAACGTTCGCACATTTATGCAGGTCGGACAACAGATAGGGCTGGCTATGTCTTTGGAAAGTCTTAATATCAACGTGTGTTGTCTATCCGAGACCCGTATTCAAGACTCTGGCAAAGTACTACAAATTCGATCTCCATCTGTCGCTTCGAAAAGCTTGTTTTACGTGCGCTTATCCGGGGACCCTGTGGCATCTTCGTCTGGTTTTGCTGGCGTTGGTGTCGCACTAAGCGCTAGAGCTGAGGCAGCACTAGTCGATTGGATCCCCATTAACAGTCGGTTATGTGCTGTTAGATTAGAAAGTTCCATCAAAGTGAGAAGAAATCGGCGTGAGAAACGATGTCTTTTCGTCATCTCCGCCTATGCCCCGACAGATTGCAGCCCGGATGCAATCAAGGATGAGTTTTACCACCAGTTATCAGTTCTTCTCCAGAAAGTGCGTTCGACAGATATTGTAGTACTAGCCGGAGACTTGAATGCTCAGGTCGGGCGTCTAGGCACAGAAGAGAGTCGTTTAGGTGGCCGATGGGGACTCGTTGGTCGCAGGTCAGATAACGGGGACCGTCTACTGCAACTTTGCGCAGACCACAACCTGTTTCTGGCTGGCACTAACTTTCGGCACAGTCATCGCCGATATGCCACCTGGCGTCCTCCCTCTGCATCCCAAGCCTGGACTCAGATTGATCACATCGCGATCAGCTACCGCTGGCGTGGTTGTGTACAAGACTGCCGCTCCTTTTGGAGTACCTATCTGGACTCTGACCATGCCTTGGTCTGCGCCAATCTTGCCTTACTTTTCAGTGGACAACGAAGTGAACGCCATCAACGGATTGATGTTAGCAAGCTGGTTGCAACTTCTGTTGCAAGTAAGTATCGAACCGAGCTAGCCTCTAGGCTAGCTACCACTCCACCGAAAAGTATAGATGAGCATTGGTTGCAATTGCATGACGCCATGAAAATGGCGGGAACAGTCAGTTGTGGGTTTGCGAAACGTCCCGCTTTTAAGCACTGGGTTTCTTCTGGTTCCTTACAACTCATTGAAGCCCGTCGGTCTACTCCGGGTAACCGTGAGTTTGACCATAAACGAAGGTTTTTACGTAAGGAAATCGGGCAAAGCTTGCGTAAGGACCGAGAAGCCTGGTGGTCGATGCGTGCTAATGAGCTGGAAGCAGCAGCTGCATCTGGTAACTACCGGAAGCTCTTCCAACTCATCCGAGCCACTGGCAGCAAGAAGTCTGGTGTGAGTGAAACAATCTGCGAGGATGATGGGATGCCAATCACTAACATCCATCGACGTCTTGGACGATGGGCAGAATTTTTCGAAGGGCAGTTCAACTGGCCTGCTGCTCCGGCAACATCGGTCAGACTGTCCTGCCCTCCATGGCCGGTGACGACTGATCCACCAAATGAGGAGGAAGTCCGCAAGGAACTCCAACTCTTGAAGCGTTACAAATCACCTGGCCCAGATGACTTACCTCCGGCTCTTTTTAAAGATGGTGGTGACTTTTTGACTAAGGAATTGACGACGTTGTTTACAAAGGTTTGGGATCTAGAGAGTGTACCAACGTCATGGAATGAGTCGATAGTTGTCCCTATCTTTAAAAAGGGTTCACGTCGTTCTTGTAACAACTATCGGGGGATAAGTTTACTTCCGATTGCGTCCAAGCTATTGGCTTCCGTCATTCTTCGTAGGTTGTTCAAAACCCGAGAAAGATTGACTCGCGAGGAGCAGGCTGGGTTTCGTTCTGGTCGAGGATGTATTGATCATATCTTCACCCTCCGCCAAATGTTAGAACACCGCCATACTTTTCAAAGGCCAACAATCGTAGTGTTTCTTGACATCAGGGCTGCCTTCGATTCGTTGGACAGGACTGTTCTCTGGGATTGTCTATTGAAGAAGGGTGTGCCTGAGAAGTTTATTAACATCCTAAAAGCCCTGTATAAAAACACCTCAGGCAGAGTGAGGGCATACAACCACCTCTCTCCATTGTTCCATTCGAGCAGTGGGGTTAGGTAGGGTTGCCCAATCTCACCATTCCTCTTCAACTTTGCCATCGATGACATTCTGGAAACAGCTCTGATGAATGTAAGTAATGGTGGTGTGGATCTGTTGCCTGGAGAAAGACTTCTCGACCTTGAGTATGCGGACGATATTGTCTTACTGTGCGATAATGCCCAAGGCATGCAATCCGCACTTAATCAGTTGGCAATCAATGTCCGTAGGTATGGTATGTGCTTTGCACCTTCGAAGTGCAAAGTACTTCTACAAGACTGGCAGGATTCTAATCCTGTACTCACCCTGGATGGTGAGCAGATAGACGTAGTTGAGAAGTTCGTGTATCTGGGTAGCTGCATAAGTGCTGGTGGGGGTGTGAGTGATGAGATCAATGTACGTATAGTGAAAGCCAGAGCGGCTTATGCCAATCTGGGCCACCTTTGGCGCCTTCGTGATGTTAGTCTGGCTGTAAAAGGCCGGATCTACAACGCGTCGGTGAGAGCAGTTTTGCTCTATGCTTGTGAAACCTGGCCTCTCCGAGTTGAGGACGTTAGACGACTCTCTGTGTTCGATCATCGCTGTACCCGAAGGATTGCTGACATTCAGTGGCAACACCATGTCAGTAATGCAGAGGTTCGGCATCGTGTGTTCGGGCACAGAGATGATAACTCAATTGGTGTCACCATCTTGAAACACCGACTTCGGTGGCTTGGACATGTTCAACGAATGTCGTCCCAGAGAATTCCACGTCGTGCATTATTTGCCGACTCTGGGACTGGTTGGAAGAAGCGGAGAGGTGGTCAGTGCATGACATGGTGTCGTGGCATGAAAGAAAGCTGTACAGGACTGGCTTGTGTTGGTCCTTCACGACTCCCTGGTTGGGGTCCGAGAGATGGTGCAACACAGTGGCTAGAGACGTTATCAGATATGGCTCAGAATAGAAGCCAGTGGCGATCCTGCTGTAACCTTCTTTTACTTTCTTCATAAAAAGTGGTTGTGTCTCCTTTACCTGAAAGATTTCTTCTGATTGTACCTCTTCGTCATTACTCTCTTTTTCTTTTGCGTTCCTTAGTTTTTTTTCTTCTTTCTACTTCTCTTCGAATTCCCATTGTTTTGTGTGGCGCATATATATTGGCGCTCTCTTGTACCAATATTTATGTGTTCAAATAAATAAATAAATAAAAACTACTAGCTAGGTATCACTGATACTTTATTAAATACAGGAAAATGAGATTTCTTGCTTTTCAGATGGAACTGACGACAAACATTCGTGAGAACCTTTAGAAAAATCCTTAAACTTTTCAACTAGGAAAATTTTTCCACGTAACAAAATCTAAGTGAGCAGATGGACATAATTTTATAGACGTTGCAAACCAGCATCACACAATTAATCCCATTGTTAACGAATACTGCCCGTAATAAAGTTTCAATTGTTTAAACTGTCGGATGATAGTTTTATATATAAGAAAAAATTGGTATTGTAAATGCAAAAATCTGTTTTTAGATCGAACAGGTGTTTCTGCAATGATTTTCGGTAAAAACTTTCAACTAATAAATGCCAGTAATTTAAAATTTTCTTTCCTTATCAAGCAGTATTTTAAGTGGCAGTATGTCAGCTTATGGATACAATTGTATACAACTGAACTGTTTTATTTTACTAAAATCCATGAATTATAATTTAATTGACTCACTTTGTTTTGCCGATGCATAATATACTTTTCCGTAAGAGGCGCCAAGGTTCGTGGTATACAGCCCAAGATGGGTGATCAAGCAGTAAAAATGATAGATCCAATGCATCAGAAAATCTTCCTACGAAATTCATTATAAACAACATTATGTTAAGTAATTGGTAGGTAGTATAACAGCAAAAAGTAAGATAAAACCTTGACATCTAATCTTCACATACAACTGGTAAAATTAACAGGGTATGAGGAAAGATTATATTTAGCAGTCATAACATTGATGGACTAAAGAATGCTAAAACATGACATCAAAAGTATTCCGTTTCTAATTTATATTCGTAATGAAGATCTTCAAAACAATTTAAAAAACAAAACAAACAGTTTGAGCATTTTACTAATCTACAATCAAAACCTGTCATTAAAATAAAACTACAGTAGTCAAGGTCTTTAATCAAATAATTGATAAACAGTGAATTTAGAAACGTTTTTTCAGTCTATATTAAATAAACAATGAACTTTATAAAATGAAGTATAAAATTATACATAATTTTTCGACTGATAATGATGAAGCACTGAGATTAAAGAACATTTCACTGGTGTAACGAAGACTAATTGGACATCGGTAAAGTAGGAGACAGTTTTATTTAATCTCCTGGAATTGTAGAAGATAAAAAGAGAACGATATAACATCAAATTAAAATAAAACTGCAGTGAATTTTTTTTTAAATCGTCCCATTTATAGTAGTCATTTATGATTAATGGTTGTTGGACAGATAAAGAATGTAATAAAAAAACTACCTACGACCAAAAGTGATCATTAATTCTATAGGTCAACTTAATTTGCCTAAAACCTCACACTTGTCCTTAGTACTCCTCGAACCCAGGCCCTGGGAAAACAGTAGAAGCTGCTAATCTATGAAAATGATCAGGTGTTAGATGTTTCTAATGTGGATCGTAAAATGTAACATGCAGAAAGAGAAATCGAGAACATCTACAGGTATACCTAGCACTTAATCCATAGTTGTAAAAATAGTTAGCTTGCTACATTGATTGTACAAAAACCACTCACGGATCCAGAAACTTGGCAAATATGTACTTGCTGAATATTGATATAATTGAAAAGAAACAGCGCGCAGTGTTTGTATTTTGCAGATCAAATTTCAGAACCATGTTATTTTCTAACAACGCAAATACCGTTTTGTTATAAATTTGCTATAACTGACTACGTGTTTAACTATTTAATATGCTCACATGCTCTTAAAAAAGCTCACGACCTTTTATGAAGCTAAATAGTGTAAAATCCGAGAACTACCGCATAGGTCGGTGTATTTTTCACCTCGTCTGATATTTGGAGAAGAAATAAGTGACTGAAATACAACTTAGAAATCAAATATATCATACAGGTATAAAAAGGTTATGGAAAAACAAAGCTGGTCAAAAATGTTTGTAATGGAAGATGAGTGGAAGATTACGACTGTTGAAAAACCTTTTTATGCATATTTTGGAATATTCACGAGCTAAGTGAATATAAGACAGCAATGAGTCGATAATTTTGGATCGACTATTATCTGCTACATACAAATAAATACACAGTATTAAAGAGATTATTATCATCAAGAAACGTTACTTTGTCAAAAATTATCGAAAAGCTCTGGACGCAAACACATTAAAGAGAGGTTCATAAATTAGACTTTGAGGCACATTTGCTGTATAAAATACGCTAATTAAATGGCTAGATTACAGTTCAAAGGTTGTCACACCAAATCCCGGAATCGTAAAGGTGGTAACAGTATTAGTGGTAATAAGAAAGAAGATCGACGATATAACTCGGAAATAAAATAGAAATTAACGAAATAAACAGTTATGAGGAATTTAGAATCTCAGAATTTGGGGGAAGACAAAGAATGGATGCACATGGGCCACTGCAAACGATTTTGATTTATGTCATTAAAAACCTCTAACCATTGGCTACGATAATCACGCGCACCTCAACCAGGTGGTCTACACCTAATAACTTGAGTAAGTCCAATTTCCAGTGTCTACATGGTCTGATGCCATTTTTTGACTAGTCCGGTCAGCCTACTACTAAACCAGAAAACAACCCACACCGAGGTAGGCGGGGGTTGAAGATACGTAACACATCTCCCAACCATCTCGGTTGATGTAGATTTACTACCTTATCAATCGACCTACCTTCTTTGCCTTATACTTTATTACTAACCCAAGCATTGTTTACTATACTCCCAAAATACACGAGCAGTGCCTCGTCGAAACCTATAACAGAATGCCAATAACGTACGAATATCCTCTACTATTAATAGCCATGTTTTACATCCATGAAGTAGAAAGGGGAGAACCACTGCGAAGTAAACTCTCTGTTTGGTCAGAAGACGCATATCTCACCTACACCACAAACGACACTAATATTTTAGATACTATATTAAACTGGTTCCTCTGAGATTGTTACAAGAGAATTTTTGTCCTTTCTTATAAACTGGGACGATCGGTGATCGAAACCAGTTAGATGGGATTACATCCAGTTACCAGATTTTAACTAAGATTTCAATTAGTGGAACTGCTAAAACTGGACCACCAACCTTAAAAATCTCGGGTGTTAGTCAATTAGGCCCTGGTGCTATCCATCACTTAGATTACCAATAACCTTATCAACCTCATTAAGATTTCAAGGACTTACATCAGTTTGCCTTCAGGTTACTTGGAGATAGCAGGTAACTGAATTACCGCTAAAGGCCATTCCCCTAGTGTTTTGTCAATCGGTTCAATATCCTGGATCGAGAGTGGATAATAGTCCTGCCGGATCTTTAATACACGTTTCTTTGATAAGTCTGGATAAGTCTACTGTTACCCACTGCTGTCTTTTTCATCTCTTCCGCTTTTGCTACTCACCACTACTCACGATCATTAGGTAGGCTTTTTATAAACTTACGTCTAAGCTGCCTTCGCTCCAAATCATGTTCAGAACCAGATGTAATGAGTTTCCAAGCATCTGTCAGGTTTGTAGACGGAGCTGATTTTTCCTAAACTTGTGATTTAAGTTTTTACGGTCATACGACTTACGTTCAGGGTGATCTAGAGGAAGCAAAAAACCAATACGCCGTCAACTACATATATCGTTTCGAAGTATTCCGAGAACTATCTTAACATCTTATGGAATTTCACAGGAGATTCTATTTTGAATACGAATAAAAATTTATATTGATTATATAAGCATTGTAAGTTGCTAGGAAAATATCTTGAATAATATCACAGAGAAGGAACAGATATTTGATCAACTTACCACGTTTTAAACAAGAAATTATAGTTGGTAAATGGCTATGACTTCTCCTTAATAAACTTTTTACTTCTTTTTTCGACATAGATTCATAATTATCAGGCAGGTTCGGAGCTGGTTCAGGTAATGTACGCCTGCTAAATGATATACGATATTCTAAATAGATTTTTGAATTCTTCAAACTTTTGGGCGATTTCTTCTGATGGGAGGTATGCGATTGTGTAGTTTCATCAACAGTTGTATTACCATCACTTAGATCTAAACTACATGCTGAGGAATCATGACAGTTTTTGGTTATTGGATGAGATGGAGACAAAACTGCTGATGAATGAGTAATTGGTACAGGTTGACGTTTATGCCATTCGCATAGATATCTTAAGGTGTTTGGGTTTTCAGGTACTTTTTGAGCATAACTAAGTAGTAAGGCATGTGCACGTGTACATTCATTAAAATATTGCAGTATCTACGAGTACAAAAGGAATTAAACAAGCAATAGTAAATTAGTTCATATTAGATATGAATTGAAGACAATGAGGATTAGATGGAAATATTGACTGATAAATGGTTATTCAAAACTATTGAAATATGAACTGAGATATATTCATTTAAATATAGGACAATAAGAGGAAAATTACTTCAACAAATGCTCTGACAAAGGTGTCGCACAAATGACCCTCAGAAACGAGAGCTTCAACTTCCTGTAATCGATGGTAAGCTTTCTCAGCTAAATTATCGGCTGTCATATGAATATCATCGGGATCACCTACAAATAAGATCAAAAGTAACGAAGTCAGATTAAATTATACGGTTATAATGGATTGGAAATGGTCAACTTCGTGATGAAGAAGACGGTTATACCTAAAATTCAGTGCAATGGAATGTGTCATATATTTTACACAGATACTTAATTTACCTGGGTTACGGTTACAGCACATTTAAAATTTTATAAAAATTGTGGTCGGAAATATTATTCCGTCTTAAATCAGAGTTGTCAATCGTACTGCACAGTATTTTTTCGCTTAAAAATTGAACAGGAAAGAAAACTAACAGTCATTCGTTAGCAAAAAATTTAAAAGGTTGAGTAAACCTGACAAAATTTGGCTTTCAAATATTTATTGGGAGACAGGTATTTTTTGGTCTTAATGGGTCTTCTAAACGGACGATAGATAGTGTTTCAGAACTTACTAGCTGATACTAATGTATTAATTTGTTTAAGCCACATTCCATAAAAGCTGTAACCTTCATAGAGTCTTTGTAATCGCTGAACATGTGCAAATTCTGGCTCTCTAGTCAAAACTGTATGAAGACTTGCATATTTATTTCGTTGAACAGGCTGTAACAAAAAAGGGAATAACAAGTACGTTTAGCAATATATTGTTTATACTGAAATATTCGTTTATGAAAGCAGTTTCACTCGTGAATGACTAATTTTTTATCGTATAATTTCCTATTTTTATTTGATTAATTGCAAGCTGATTTTTTGTTAGTTGATATATATTTTAAATATTCGACCATAGCCATATGGTTATCCAGGAAAACAGAGAGGACTGTTTAACAATATGCCTGTTTTCTAATAGGGGTTCGGATATCTTGTCAAAACCAGGAAAACAACTGAATTAAGTTCCACACTTCGATGTTCTGTTGCTGATGAGATTCCAGAAACAGGTGACAGAACAAATTTAGGAAGTTGAAATCAAAGAGTTTGCCCTTTCCAAGCTTTAATTAGGGGTTAGAACTCTGGAAATTTAAGAACTATGTTAGTCAAAATGATTCTGTTGTGATTACTCGGAAACTATTTTCGCTCTATTTTTGTTTACTACGATGATAAGCTGTCAAGACCACTGAAAATATATTATTAAATATATAAAGGTCAGCCCATCCTCCGTTTGTTTGTCAAACATTTAGGAAATGAATCTTTAAGAACTTTCCATTTAATTCATTTTCAGCTTGCTATAGAATAATGAACTGCAGTAAAAAATATATAAACGATTTCATTGTCTCATTCTGATTATAGCTGGATAGTGGTTGAAAGGAAAGCGGCTGAAGAGCAGTTGTCATATCCTCTGAAATGTTATGTCAATTGTTGCAACCTGTTGCTCATAAAATGCATTACTAACATAATTATTTTGCTAAACATTTATTAATTGGCTTTACCGATAACAATGATAGAAGATAGATATATCCCGGTACATTAAATATAATGGACGATTTTTTATGAATGAATTCCACTACTGAAATCACTTCCGGCTTCTCTGCACTTTTATTAATGTGTACTCCTATAAAGGTCATATAGTTTTCAATCAAACGATCGAATCACATTCTGAATCACATGATTTCCACAAAGAACTCAAGCTAGATCAACCACGACTATTGTCTATTTTCAATATATTTTCTTGATTTGTTTTCACTATTCACTAACCCAAAAACTCGTATTTCATTCGGATTTGAGTTGCCTTTGGTCCTTATTTCGGCTACAGGCATTGACAACAAAACTCGGAAAAAAACTCCCGAAAATTACTAGTTGTTACCAAATTTTGATTATACGCCACTTGGTAAATGTCAACTTCCCATAAAAGTTAACTATTTTCTTCTCAAATTGGTTTTTAAAATTCTCGTCTCTAAATCAATCAAAAGTAAACTTCAGGGGATGTGTATGTATTTATCCAGAAGCATATTCACACACGCAAAATCGAAGTACAGTGGCACCGATGCATTCACTCATTGTATTTTCCTAAGCCTTGGACTGAAACTTAATTTCAAATCTTTTATTTATCGAATTCATCCCTTTTTTAAAACCATACTCTCCAATGTTTAATATTTTTGGTTATCATCGACATAACTACCGGTTTCGTCTCGTTTGGCCGATGTGGTATGGGAGACTTGGGTTAAAGCCAGTCTAGAGACTGAAGGCAACTCAAATCCGAATGAAATACGAGTTTTTGGGTTAGTGAATAGTGAAAACAAATCAAGAAAATATATTGAAAATAGACAATAGTCGTGGTTGATCTAGCTTGAGTTCTTTGTAGAAATCATGTGATTCAGAATGTGATTCGATCGTTTGATTGAAAACTATATGACCTTTATAGGAGTACACATTAATAAAAGTGCAGAGAAGCCGGAAGTGATTTCAGTAGTGGAATTCATTCATAAAAAATCGTCCAGTCTGGTCTTTATGTCGATTGTGATTGACTGAGGCAGGAACTGAGTCCAAAAAGGGTTTTATAAACAGAGACAAATTTCCGCTAATCATCTTCAGGAGTAGCTGACATATAAATTCATTTTCATACATCACCGAGTTACCATTGTCTTATGTGATACTTATGCGGACACATACGTAATATGTATCAGCAATTGGCAGTAGGATTATTACTAACAGAAGAGGAAAGTGGGAAGAGTAAGAAAAACAGAAGCAGTTGGAGAAGCAACAGGAATGGATGAACGATGGTGTGTAAGAGACAATTCAAGGAAGATGTCTAAATGGTGTGTTAAATGTATTATTTTCATACTTTACAAATACAAAGTTGGTTTCCTCTAATCAAATCGTCGTTCATTACACCATCAGTAGTCACCAAGCTTATTATTGTGAATGGGGTTTTTACTATCCAATCGAGTGGTTGCTAGGCGTTCAAGGTGAAGCTTAGAATTACCACACTAGTTGTCTGAAATCAAATGTCTAATATCATTAAGATTGTGTCTATAAAACACGACCTTTATATGTAGATCTAGTTCATATTTTCTAGATTAAGAAGTTTATTCTTCCATTTGAAACTGTAGTTTTGAATGTTTAAATGTACGGTTTGTAGAACTAAATCAAAAAGGGGGTGATTTGTAGCAAACTCAACACAAATACTACGTAAATGTTGAGGAAATTTTTGGGGTGATAGAATAGCAACAAGAACCAATAAATATGGATAGAGTTGGCAGGAAAATAGAATTCTATTTGGACTAAAGTGAGCAGGTAGCTGGCAGTTCTAAGATTCCTCCATATTAGGTATGATTTATGAGCGTCTTGCCAATGTATGAATAGAAACATCCACAAACCGAGCAAAAAAGATTAGAATGATATACCAGAGAAGACTTCATAAATTAGTGAGTAAATGGTAAAAATACACGCAGCAAAAAGTGCAACTGACGAATCGAGATTCTTGAAAATGAATTTAACTTGTCAAAATTCCAGTAAACATAACAGACAGAAACAATGGGCTGTATTTTTAAATCATTTCCTAAGAGTTCGTAAGAGCTTTCACTTGAAGCATATTAAACAGTAAGATTGTCGGTGGTAACAATCCCAAAGATAAATAGAAATAACTCGAAGTTAGCAATAATAATGTATCGATTCAAGTTCACATATAGGATAGTAAATAAAAACTAACAAGAAAATAGGTGTGATTTCGTAAAAATCTTTTTCATCTCCCATGAATTTCTATAATAATGATCAATGGTCACCATAATAATCATCAACAATTTGAGAGGATAATTCCACTGGAGTAACCATATTCTGAGTTGTAGAATAAGATTGTAACTTGCAAAAAATAACCAGGATAGGGATTCAACGTACCTGTATATTTGTGCGACAAAACTGTACAGCATTCAAGTTTCCTTTGCTGATCTCATATAATATAAACTCTAATATACGATTATTTTCATCACTCAGAAGAAACCCATCCAAAACCCTGGAAAAGCAAAATTAAAAATCATTACAAGACATATCTACAGGAAATAAATTGATTTTGTTTAAGTTCAATGTATACTGTATAGTGTAACACAAACTTGTAACACTAAGGGTAACGCCTAAACAAATTTTTAAGACGAAAGCCACTCATAATAAGTTCAGAAAATCTTTGGAATCCAACTTGTTTATGACTGGGTTGTAAAAAACACCGTCTTACGACGTAAAAATACTGAGATTTTACAGTATATGATAGTTCTCATTAGGCGTATCCTTAGTCGGTACCAACCACATATATACTACATAAAAAAGGTACAATTGTTTTATATAAATGCATTACAAACCTTGCTTTCCTTAAGATAGTCCTAGAACTCTTTAGACGAAAAAAATCCTCAAGTCACCTACCTTACATAATGTTTGAAACATTGTGCATGCAACGCTTTTATATGGTTTAACTTGAAACCATAGTTATATCACTGAAGAATAATCTCTATTATAACGGGATAAATATCGAGAAAGTTGCGATCTGAGAAACAATCTTATGAAGAACTATATCTTAATTGTATAACATCTGGATTATTGAGTCATTGTGTTATTTATTTTATTATTTTATTTGAACATATACATATATATACAGGAGTGCGCCAAATATATATGCGCCACACAATTTCAGTTCATTAATTGCGTGTGGGCTGCGATACTGCCCGGGTGCCCAGACCGAGGCAGGTGGTTATCTCAGGGGGCCACACCCCGAGCTTTTGACCTAAAGGTCTAACCCACAAGGCAGTGGAGCATCGTAAGGAGATGCAGTCCAATGGTAACCGGTGACCGAAAATTGGTTCATACGCCTTTTGTTCCCGCAGGATACTGGTGCCCATGTGCACCATAGATTTGAAATCCGGTTAAAGCGCCGGACATTCGCTTTTCGTCCTCTCATTTTCGTAAACAACACCCTCGCCACGAGAAGGCAGTGAATAGGACTTCCCCGGCAGATGCTGTATACGCGCGGCCGTGTGAGAGTATTTCGAGAGGGAGAGCGGACTCACCCTACTCTCGGCCATACCAGGGCATTTGGGGGCTTTTAATTGTAACCATTTGTTTGTTGTATAAACTATTGTCTATTTTACCTTTCTCAAGTTACCGTCAATTAATCCTGAACCTTACACTTAGCTTCACATCCACAATACTACTGCTCTTATTATAACGGCCTGGTTTCACGGACTCCAATACAATACAAGAACCTGATATTTCTGAAGATATAACAGTTAACTGCTAGTAGAGCTGATTTGTTCGTTTAGTTACTCAACTTTCAATACTTGGGTTACAGGTTTGGACATTCATTTGACCTATCATGAGGTAGTGTCATTACATTAAACACGATAGACAACTAGTGAACTCACATGGGGTTACCAGTTTTACAAGGATAGATAGTCAAAGTGTTAATATGAGAGTGTAATATGCTCGCAGTAAAAAAATTGTAGACGTCTACCTCATGATAGATTACTTCGGAGATAGAACCTATAACGTTAATTATTTACAGGCTACCATTTTCGGTCCCAAGTATGGACATTGCATGAGAATATAAGAGTATTTTAACTTAAAAAGTAGTTCCCAGTCAGTCAGCTACAACGTAGGACCAAACAAATATATGTATCGGTCCAAGTTGCCACACCGCATTAGCACAGCAAGATGAACACCGGATTCATAGAAGTAGTTAATTAGGTGGTGATCATCGATCATCGCTGTACCCGAAGGATTGCTGACATTCAGTGGCAACACCATGTCAGTAATGCAGAGGTTCGGCATCGTGTGTTCGGGCAAAGAGATGATAATTCAATTGGTGTTACCATCTTGAAACATCGACTTCGGTGGCTTGGACATGTTCAACGAATGTCGTCCCAGAGAATTCCACGTCGTGCATTATTTGCCAACTCTGGGACTGGTTGGAAGAAGCGGAGAGGTGGTCAGTACATGACATGGTGTCGTGGTATGAAAGAAAGCTGTACAGGACTGGCTTCTGTTGGTCCTTCACGACTCCCTGGTTGGGGTCGGAGAGATGGTGCTACACATTGGCTAGAGACGTTATCAGATATGGCTCAGAACAGAAGCCAGTGGTGATCCTGATGTAACCTTCCTTTACTTTCTTCATAAAAAGTGGTTGTCTCCCTTACCTGAAAGATTTCTTCTGATTGTACCTTTCCGTTCCCTCATTACAATCTTTTCGTTATTGCTCTCTTTTTTTGCGCTCCTTAGCTTTTTTTTCTATTTCTCTTCGAATTCTCATTGTTTTGTGTGGCACATATATATTGGCGCTCTCTTGTACCAATATTCATGTGTTCAAATAATAATAATAATAACAGGAAGAAAGAATTGGCTGGTAGAAAGAAAAATATGAAGCGATTTTAAGGGAAGACAAAGAGTGTATACACCTACGCCATTGTGATCGGTTCTCAGCCGTGTCACAGTCTCCAACCATTGGTTATGATCGTCACGCGGACCCCAACCAAGTAGTCTGCATCTACCAACATGGCTCAGATCAGAAGTTAGTGACCTCAAGCACTGATGCCACGTTTTGATTTGGCCGCCCTTAACTTTCTTCCAACCATCCCCTACACTATTCAGCATTGCGCGTCGTTGTAATCGGGGTTTAGGCATACGCAACACATGGCCCAACCATCTCAGTCGATGAAGATTCACAACCTCATCAATCGATTTACCATCATTCCCTAATACTCTGCGTCTAATCTCACTATTACTTACTCGGTGATCCCAGCAGATGCCAGAAATATTTATAAGGCATCTGTGGTCAAATACTAGTAGCTTACGAGTATCTTCAACTCTTAATGACCACGTTTCGTAGCCGTAAAGTAAAACAGAACGAACTGCCACGCAGTATACTCGTCCTTTTATTGATAGACGGATATCTCGCCTTCGTCATAGGTGATGTAAGTTGGTAAAAGCCAAACGAGCTTTTCGAATCCGTGCTGAGATTTCGTCAGACACAAACCCATTGGGGCTGATTAGACTTCCAAGATAAGTTAATATATCTGGTATAGCATCTGAACGCTGAAAGCTCCAACATTTAGTTAAGAGCATGGTTTCATGAAACAAAGAATAACACTTCGTGGACTCGGATCTTAGCATTGGTGGAATACGGTGATAGCCATACGAGGAGGGTTAATCGTGGAGGCAGGCGAAGCACTAAGAGGTGAGAGAGAGATTGGACCATGAACAAAATAGTCTCTGATGCTGTTAGAGGTATGGAGACGGTTGTCACTTCCCGATTCTTTACACTGTAGAAGGATATATTTTCTTCGTGGACTTAAAAAAGAAACTGTGTTAAGGATGGTCATGAATAACCTGGGGGTGTAACCCCAGAGCCAAAATAATAACTGATTGACTCAGGTTACACATGGACTTTATACCGGAAGTTTAAAATGTATTGGTTACATATTTAAAGGACCTTGCTGTCTCAGACGAAAATTCGTGGGTGTACTATTTCTCGAGCGGACCTATTCTAACGCCTTCCGTTGTATGAACGCAGCAATGTTGTAGATGCTATCTGAGGAAAACTCCTTACTGCTGTTACATCCATGTCTAGTAATCAATAAGATTTCGCCATAAGACAGTGAGTTGCTACTTCTGGAATAACGTTTCGCCAACCGACCTGTCTGGCATGGTAGAACTCAAAAGAATGTGTTTTAGCTAATATAGCTTGATTAAGTCACCCCAATAGACAAGCCTGACGACCATGTTAAGGTGATAGCTGCAGTCAAGACATTTTTCTGACTGAACCGTTTCGTCTTGACTACAATTCCTTTCGTTCTTTTATTACTTCACAACTATATTTCCTTATTGTGTGGCCTATTTATTTTAGTGCCCATTTGTTTCAGAATGTACGTGTACGAAACAGACAGGATAGTATCAAGACGTAACTAAGCTCCAAGTTTAGAGGTTAAGCGTTTACTGATAACTTATTGTTTAAGTAAGGACGACAAAATGCAGATAAAGCATAATACTTTTAAAATAAAACGGATTTTACGAAAGTCCACTTACCTACTAAATGATCTCAACCCAACATCATCTTTCAAACACTGGAATATATGGAATGCCACCTAAACAAATAAGCGGTAAAAGCAGAAAAACTAACCCGCCATATCCAGGTCGATGACATTGGATATGCATGGATTGAGTGAGCTAGTAATCTAGCAGCCTCTTTAAACTTGTGCCTCGACAAAAAGTACCACATAGCACAAATAACGCGAGCTTTCTCGGAATATAGCAGTCTAAAATCCTCTAAAATGAGACGGTGGAAAGTGAACACATATGAGGATAAATTTTACTGCAAAACAGAAGTCAAACGAAGCATTAGTCGAGGCTATATCAGAATCTAAAAAGTGAACACAAGACTCATATTTATATATCTATTAGATAACCTCACAAAAGTATCGACAGGATTAAGTTAAAAACGGGTGTAACGAAATGAATACATGTGGTTTTAATGATTATGAAATAAAGCTACAAGTCGAGAATAATAATCAAATCTCTTATGGTCTATTGGGCACCACTACGAGGAATCACTGACCGATGAACTGATGATTTAAAGAATGTAGTTAATCCATAATTGACACCTTTTAGAAAACTGTGGTCATGTGTAAATTTATATTGAACCAAAACTTCTAGGAACTTACCAGCTGTGTTCAGAGTGCAGTAAGATTCCTTTCCCAGCCAGCCGTCATAAAATCCATCCCTGCCGAGATTTAAAATAAACTGGCAGAATCGACGAAGTCTTAAGAAGTAAAGTTTGTTTCTACCATAAGAGTGGAGACGATCAAGCATGGTTCCACTTGAACTACTGGATAACTGAAGGAATTAAAACTATTAGGCTATTGGGTATTTCGTTTTTTCACGTGAGGTTACAACATTGACACCTAAGGAGAACAAATCCAATACAATAAACGAAGTCGAACAACAAAGAAAGATATAAAGCGACTTAGTGATTCCTATTGATTCTAACAACATGGCGTAGTTTAGACATTCTAAAGTAGGAAACATGATTTTGAGTTATGAATCTCAATCAGGTACTTGTTTTTCTCAAAATCTATTGAAACCGACAATGAAATAAAATTTTAACTGGACAAGTGTGATGGATCACTGTACAGAATAACTAACTCAGATCAGCATTCGTATATTACAAGGGAGAAATTCACGACTCAGCCGTGAGGTAGACTTGTGTATGGAAATGAATCAAATCGACTACGATTATATCGATTCGACACTCTTTAAATGAGGTAAGATTGAAAACTGAGATCCACTTGTTAAGGGATATCATTAGATTCGGTACTTAGTAATTCGTTCACTCTATTTCGAGTTACTTTCAACCTTGATTTTTACTGATAGTATTTACTTTAGTATAGTACACACCCAGAGACTTGCATCCTATATGATCGGTTAATTTTTCACCACAATGCTGAGCACAACGACGGGTCTTATTTACTAAAACCTTAAAGCATCCATCATTGATATATATACTCAAGAATAATAATTTTAGGGGTGTGTAGTCCCCAAATAAATCTTATAGAAAAGGAAATCAATACCGACTAAAAGTGAACTTAAGATTCCTAGTAATAAAATGTAAATATGCAGAAACCAAAACCGAGCATCAAAGAGAACCAAGGTTGGGACAAGTATAAAACAATATACTTGAATCTGTCTCCCATTTTCGGCATTCATCACAAAACTGACCGACCGACGGAGAATTTGGTTCCCAAACATGTACGTGCGCTATAAGCTGAATAGTTCTGAGCTGGTAGCGAAAGCTCTAAAGCATACATTAACGTATCCCACAGCCATATTTTATGCATGAGCGGATTTTGATTGGTCAAATAAATATTTTAAGATTTATCATCAACTGGGAAGCGTAGTTACACAGTGACTACCACTTTGACACAGAAAACGGAGCCCACAGTGGCATGTTAGTAACCATCACACACGTAAACTGCTTACACACACACTCGTGTCAAATTAAATTAAAAACCGATACGGCAAGAACCTTGCAAAACATAAAAGTTGAGGTGATAAATTTCTTTATTTGTCGCGGATTGTTTATCATAACTTTAAGTGCGAAAATGAACGTGATACAAGATTTACGACGCTTCGTAACTTCTTGTAGGTTACTTCTCTAGAAAACATATAACTTAAATGAACAGAACCTACCCAACAGCTGTAACGTACACACTCAAACTTCCGACTTTTGGCAATATGAAGGTTATTTATTCTCTTAACTCGTGATTTAAACACAGCCATGTTATAACCAGGTTCTGTGAACACTCTTAGATCTTAAATGTTCCCTGACTTCATATTTTTTGTACTCTTACTCCTGTGTTTTCACTTTGAAAAGCACGGGTTTGGGCTTGGTTTTTCCGTTAGTGTATAGCTTCCAAATTAGAGCAGTTTGGATTTCGGAATAACTGGTTAAATGCGCGCAATTTCACAGTCAATACTGAGAAAACCTTCTGAATTGTGTTATAAATTTATATGTACATTATTACTTAGACAAAGATTACCATCCAGTTGTTCGATCAGCAATAGCTTGATCAGTAGTTAAGTCTAAATTGCTCTAGGTAGGTAAAGTGATGTAGGATACAAGAGAACTACTAAGGAAAACAAGTAAATGTTCCTATCAACACGGGAACGTTATTTTGTTCCGTTGCGAATAGACTACATTCACATTACTCAAAAGATAATAAACTTCGTTATAACACGGAGCGTTTCCATTTCTGGAAGAGTGCTTCATTGCATTCAAAAATGCAATTAAAAAGGATAGCAAATCAATATTGCGGTAGCCCTAATCAAATACCAACTGGGATTATTTACATGTAGTTCGGGAAGAACATGGAAATTTAGGGAAGACGTAGGAAAAGCAAAAACTAGAACACAACACAAACAGTGCAGAATGTACATCTGAAGGAATCAAGAATAATAAATCACTTTGGTGGAGTTTTGTTTTCTGAGCTGGATGGTTTAGTCGTGAAGCTTTCAGTGTTCTTCTGAACGACATCATTAGAAAAGACATTTTTAAAAAAATAGACGTTTCACTTAATTGGTAATATTTAAGAAGACGAAATCAAAAGAATAAAAAGGGAAAGAGAGATGACAAGAGGGGTATGAAGTAGTTACCTGTATGCGGTAGTGATTAACGTGGAAAATTTTGAGACGTGCAGCGAACACAGCCTTGTGAATACGGATATGGTAATAAGTGGGTGAATGCGTGTATCAAATATCATGTTCTCGAGATGGTTTCGGAACTAAGATAAAAATGGGTAGGCCAAACCTACCGAGGGATATTTAATGAACTGATAACTTATGTTCAGAGCAGGTCGTCCAGCTTTCCCATGCTATGTGGAGTTTGGACGCATGTGATCTACTTTTCCTGAACGCATGTTGGGCCTCATAGAGGATGAAGGTTTTGTCCATGTTGTCTCTCATTTGTTCATTGACCAGTCATTTCATTGTCTTCGACAGTATTGACAGTAACGCAACTTGTCTGTAACACTGTTTTTTATCCACCTCCATCCTTGAAGACTGAAGAGAAAGTGGCTAATTCCATTCACTTGAGAGTTGGTGTGAACTTAGTGAGTACCTGAGCAAATGACATACTGCGGTGTTGATGGCTCCTGAGCACTGTTTAAGGTTTATTGGTCAGACTTTGACATCCTTATAATTTTTCTGGGCTCAGGGATTTTGATTTCTTTAATACTAGCATGAAAGTTAATTGGATATTTCCCAGACCCTTAACTGGTACTAGAGTGGAGAAGTGTTCCTCGCTTTCAGACTTCTGATTTAGTTGGTCTACGAAGTGGGCATGGAAAATTACTGCTATCTCTAAGTTAATGAGATCATTACCTTTTGGCACTTTTAAGAGCAGATCCCTTTATTTTTGGCCATCAATTGATACAGGTATTTAGGATTAACATGAGTTTGGGCTTCTAGCTTGATCTAAAAACACCTCTTTCTCAATACCATGTTAGAACTGTGATCGGATTCTCTTAAAGAGACCTTCCGTTTGTTCCGGGCTTTCCGTTCGACCTGTAACTAGCGTTCTGTGACCCTCTTTACCACCGCTCCCCAGGTGTATGCTTTACTTGAGGTACATTGTGTTGGCTGAGATTCTAAAAGACATCTCTCACTATCATAGACTGATCATCCTTTGTGAGCCTTCACCGTACTCATGACCATTAGGGTTGTTGGAGATCTTTCCTTATGGTCGTGTAGCCTGTTTTAGTATAGTTAAAATAGGAAGTGTTTCCACTTCTCCCAAATATCACGTTCATGACCACATTAAACACGACTGTACAATAAACAGTATATCCAATTGGTGAGCGGACATGGAAATACTCGACTAGAAGCTGATCATTTGTCCGTGAATAATATACGTTTGAGTTTTCTGCCCTTATGCAATATCGTGGCACTATCTGTAGAATTATGGTCTACTATGATATTAGTACTGCTCTAATAATAGACCACTCGATCAACTCAGTCCATTCAATTCATTCTCTGCGCCTCTCCATTGTTAGGTATTTCCCCGAGTTAAATATTGAATATCTATTTTCTGAGTAGTCTCGTGTTCACAGCTTTGTGGATTGTGTGGCTATTGTTCAATGCCACTACACTACTCTCCCACCAGAATCAACGTGATGTTGGTTCGATACCAAATTGGATGGGATCGTCGCGCGCCGGAGGTTACCAAGGATAATAAGGATCCTCCAGGTATTGATAAGCTGAAAGATAAATCAAAAAGACGGCAGCATCTGGTCGGGAAATACATGTAATAATCTTAAAATATCTGCTTTCATGATTAACACGCTTAAAATGAAAATTTGGTTGAAGATTATTTGAACTATAAAAATAGGATTACAATAATAATAATAATAAAACGATGCGTGTTATTAACTTAACTTATAGGCAGTAATTATTTTGTGTTTAGAAATATTAAAATAATGAATATTGTAGAAATGTTAATATTGGTATTAGTTTTGGTTTAAATTATGAAATCAGATAACGATTATGCCGGTAAGTTGTCCATAAGAGTTGAATTCCAATTGCATCTGTATTAGTAGGCTAACTGAAGGAACAAAAGTATACCGTGGAGAAGAATTCCAACTAGTGTTCCAGTCAGTTTGATACGGTTTATTTAGTTACGGGTAGATTTTCTCAACCTCATTTTTACTTGACCGTGATAGAATTTAGTAATACTACTAATACACATGAATGTTTATCAAAACAAAATTTAAATACGTAAGTGATGATTATATGAATTTTGGACAGATAGCTAGGAACAAATCGTTAAACATGAGTGTATTCGTAAGAGACATGCTCTAGACTCAATGTTCTGATCTGTGGCAGACTATTTATTCATATTTATACTTGCTGGCTGATTGGGCATACAAGTTAGTTGCAAGTATGCAGTTTATAATAAGGCGGAATACGATTTAATTGAGATATAGTGGTTTTAAGTTATTAAAATCAGTTAGGCCTGTGTCATATTACGAAGTGATGTGGTATTGCAAGATGTATTTAGCTAAATAAGTTTTTACAAGATGATTAATGGTAAGTGATGCTCATGTGATTATCAGGGAGAACATAAGTTGTAACCAGGAGGAGTACACTCCCAACTCATGTCTATGATAATGGCTTGAACCTTAGTCAGTGTTGGGGTAAATTCAACATTGATGTTTCCAGTTTGCAGGAGATCTGCTCGACTGCTTATATTGATTATTTGCATGCATTATTGTGTCGCTAAACCATCAATTAGACTGACAAGGTTTTGAGATATTTACTGAATGAGCAACTAATGGAGAAACATACTGTAATCATCTGTGATGGATGAAGATACCAAGAAAACAACACTAGTGATAATTATAAGTCAATTTGTTGACCGATTTTGTTAATAGTTTCATTAATTTTATCAGTCATATTACGTGATTGTCAAGTTATGACAATGCTTTATGACGATATCCTGAAACTATTATGTTTAACTAGTTATAGTGTTGAATGAGGATTAGTCAGTGGAAAAATGGGTATTGTTGCTTTGCTTTAAGTGATTCGAAGTTATCAGAAATTTATAACGTTAAAGAATCCAAGACGCCTAATTTAATTATAAATTTCAATTCAGAAATATTCGTCTAGTGTTAATTCTAGTAGGCTACGGAGTTTTGATTTTAAACGTTTGTTTAGCCAACAGCTACCTGAGGATTTAGTTATTTTACTAGTGCAGTTGATAGTACCTAAATTTTTAATCTTATTATCTAAACTATGTTCGCATTTTAGGCTGGTAATATGATAAACCAATTCATAAACCCAAATACGATTAGCAACAACGCTATGATGGGTTTACTGATAAATATTCAGGACGATTCAGATGATTCCTAAATTCAAAAGATATGAAGATATAGTGTAACGTATGTATGGGCCAGGTTAACATGCAGGATGTTGACGTATATAAAAATTTAAAAATAATGAACATGACCAGGAAAAGTAATTTTAAAGTCAAGACTGCTTATGAAACTTCAGGCAAGAATGTAACGCGTTATAAACATTCCATAAGAAGTTACTGTATTTAGCCTAGGGACGCTTACAAATATGTGGCAAAAGCAGCTGGAAAGCATATACATGTTAAGTACGAAAAATCATTAAGTAAAATAGTTGAACTCGCCTGGATTATTTTTGAAAATTAGATTATTCAGTGGACGACATATATAACGCCATTCGTGAGGAGTAGAAATGATCCAAAAGCATCCAGAATAAAACAAGCAGTATGGCAATCACTTCCAGGGTGCTTGATGCTGTTGCGGTTTTTGGGACTCGCTCTGATCAGAACAACTGAATGAATCCAGATAATTGTGTGTGCCATTGAATGAGCCATCTAAAATGAACTTATGATTGCAGAAAACTTATAGCTGGAACTCATCGTATTTTTTTAGAGAAGTGTCATCCTTGTTGTTTGGCAATGGAACTCGAGAATATGAAATTAGGCAGGCAGTGGTCGGAAGAAAAGATATTACAGGATAGTGCGTAGTTTAAAACAGGATGAGGTGTTAAGTGAAGAAACATTAAGAATTAGATCCAGATAACTATTCAGTCCTTGATTGTATTGTTAGTCAATGTATATTTACGCTATTTACAGGTCATATTTGCTAGAGCTTGATGTTTAAAAAAGTCTATGTTGCTGAAGCATGTAAATGCTATTAAAGCT